GCATATGTCAACAGCAACATCTTCATAAGATCAGACAAAATATACCCAAATCCCACAAACAATAAAAAATAAAAACCTAATCGTCCATTAAAGAAACCTCAGTGGAATAACCACCGGGAGGAAGCATAAAGACAGAGGGCTCGATTTTTTTCAAAGAGGGAGAAAGAAAACAGAGAAGCAATTCACAGGATTCAAACAGGGGGTGACCATTCGAACAAGGGAAACAAACAGAGAAGCAATGTAAGGGATTTACCCCTCCATTCAAAATCAATAGAGAAACATTTTCATCCTATTTTTGTTCCATACATAGATCAAGAGAAAGCATTTTATTTTTTTTATTCTCATTCGAAAACCATAAAAAAGAACTCAACATCTCAAAGGTATATTAGACATTTTTTATTATTTTAAAATGAAAACAAGTATGAAATAAAGAGAGATTAAAAGGCAAAACTAAAAACTAGAGTGTTTACCTTCGTAGGAATTGGGGCTTGCATGCTTTTGATAGGCTTGGCGTGGGGTGTAGCCATGGTAGTCACCATAATTGTTGTTTGAAGTTTCTGGTTAACAAGAAAAATGAGGGAGAGAGTGGATAAGAAAGGGGGTTGTGCGGCTGATATAGGTTTAGTTTAGAATAAGTTTAGTATTAGGTTTTTTTAAATTAAGAAATATATAGCAACTTTAGGGTAAATTAGTTTTTTAATCCTCTAAGTTTTAGCGCGAATTTGCACTTTAGTCACTCGAAAGGGCTTATTTCGAATTTATCTATTGGTATTTGTCTTGATTTAGTTATTTTCCAAATTTATATTTTAGTTATAATTTTCAGGGTTATTTGATATTAGGGTAATAATATATTTATTTATAATTCATTTAAGTCATCAAATCAATGTTTGCATGTTTATAATTTTGTCTCTTTAGTTTATACTCGTTTAATTTTGGTCCCAAGTTAGTGTATTTAATTTTTGCTGAATTTAGACATTTGACCTTTACATTTTTGCATGTTTCTTTTAAGTCTTATATATGTTTAGAGGTTTATTTCAATTTAAGTACATGGAATGTGATAGTTTATGTTTTATAACTTGATTTGTATCTAATCTATGAATTTAATTTTTAAGCTTCACCAAATCTTTCTCCTCGTGTTATGGTTGATTTATTTGTGATTGATGATAGTGATAAAGTAGGTAAGATTTGTTGTAGTGGTTTATCTACCCATTTATTTTCAACCCTTATGTTTCTTTTTATTTTTTATGAAAATCTAGGTGTAAAGGTGATATTACAAAGTTTAAAAATGAATTAAATGGTTCCATAATAGTTTTAGTAAATTATATTTATATTAAGTAAATTTGTTAATTATTTTGTTGTATATATATATAAATTAATTAAGAAATATAAATCTTGTTTTCATTTGTTTTAATAAGTTAACGTCGTGAACATTAATTTTTTTTGTTATATTTTTGTAATAGATTTTTATTTAACCTCAAAGTGGATTATTTTTATTTTGTTAACATTATTTTATATATTTACATTTTCTTTGACATTATTTGTATCATTTTATTAATTAGTAGTGTTACAATTTGCATGATATCCTCACGCGCATAACTCGATATTATTATATAAGTTGACTAAGGGTAATATTCTAGCATTTTAATATTGTCGTAAAGTGTCTGTCTTAACGGATAAGAAAGTTACTTTTGATAATTTTAAAATGAAAGTCTATCCCATCAAGTGATACCAATTAAATTGAATCCATCTTATAAAATTTGGGGATTAAGGAAAAGATCGTATTCTTTTAATTAAATTCATCGAGAAAAGACAGTTAGATCGAATCTATGGTCTCGTCTCTTGATATTTAATTAATTGAATATCCTTGTTCTCATTAAATATTGGTAAAAATAAATAATTAATCAATTGTTTGATAGGTTTTTTTTTTACTTTTGCATGTTTTTTTAAGGGTTTTCAAAATAATAATGTTCAATCATAAATAATTAAATATTATTATTTTATCTCTAAAAATTATTTTGGGTGTTATTATTTTGAAATTTAAAATGAAATTTTAATATTTATTTTATTTCGATTGGAGTAAGAATCGATTGTTTCAAGGTATGATAGATCATTTCTTCTCGATAAGAAATAATTAAATATTATTATTCTTTCATCCAAAATTTCGAAAAATATTATTTTAGGGGATCATAAATCAAATTAATTTTGAACTTGTACATTTTATTGCAAAGACAATTAATTAATCGACTAGGTACCGATTTAGGGCACTGTGGGGGTGCTAATCCTTCCCCACGTGTAACAGACTCCCGAACTCATTTTCTGGTAACGCAAACCTAAATTTGTTGTTTTAATTAAAATTAATTTTTATTTAAAATGACAACGTTTTTGGGTGCCCAATCACACCTTAATTAAAGATTGGTGGCGACTCCTCGAACAGTATTTTTATCATAAAGGAATTTCCAAATTTTTGAAACGAGAGGTTTTTTTAATCACATTCACTTTTAATTTAAATTTAATCTGAAGAGAATAATTAAAAATTGGTGTGGTTTCCAAAATCTCACCCGGGAAAAAACCGTTTCGACAGCTTGGCGACTCCGTTGGGGATTTTTTTTTAGAGTCAGGCCGATAATTGATTAATTAATTGTCTTTGCAAATAAAAAATAAAGTTTGTTCTAATTTGGTTTTTGATCTCTATTTGGTTTTAATATTGTTTATTCAGAATTTGATTAACCAATAAATAGTTGTACTGATCTGTTTGTTAATGGTTTCAGATTAATTATGTGTCTAAAGAGGATTTATTTTTGAGTATCTTGTGATTATGTGTTGTTTTTACTTTTCCTCACACACTGCACATCTGCATTTGTATAACATGAGCTAAAACCCCGCTCCGTCCTATTTAAGTAAGAGTAAGTAACTACTCCCTCATGTGGTTTTCACCTCCGTGTGGGATAGTGAAACGCTCTTTGGGCTCACGCCTTATGATCCTCGTGAGGTTTTCACCTCCGCAATGACATAAGGAAGTGTGTCCCCTCGAATTGAACTCGATCCGAAAGCCTATGATGGGCCAGGATTGAGGGTTCGGTAGCCCAAGGGGGCACCGGTAAAGGACAATTCGAGGACCCCTTACTTTAGAACCGAACCCAACATGTAGTAAACTTAGAACCCATATACAACCTTACCTAGATCATATGATCTTGTGAGGAGAGTACACAAGGAAAAGTTTTTTGAGCCATTTATTTTTTGAATAAATGCATGTGAACTAGAAATCATGCGGTTAGGTTTATTTTTCAAACCAGCATGCGAATTAGATATCATGCGATTAGGATTTTTTTTATAACAAAGCTTGTGGGTAGAAATCCTGTTTGGGTAGGATCTACTAAGCACGATTGAGTAGTCAGCATGTGAGTGTAGATTTTATTTAATAATTTCGATACTTATTATTTTGTTATTTATCTTATGTGGACTAGCCTATTTTTTCATGTGTCTATTTTATTGTGATTTTATTGCATTTGCATCTTCATATCATCTGAGGTGTTAATTCGTAAGTGATTGACTAATAAGAAGGCTGGTCATAATGAGGCAAGAAATTCTTAACCATGTACTAAAAATTGGGATATCCAGAAACATTCAAGTGATTCATGAAGATGGACATCTGATGAATGAAGAAATCTGAAACTGATTGAAGACCGATCCATGAAGAAAGGCATCTGATGAATGAAGCTTGAAGTTGATCGAAGACTTTTTTTCAAAGGAGCGGAGGCCGAAGATGTTCCCTCAGGAGATAGATGCAGTAATACCAAGGATGAGAAGACCCTTCATAAAGACACAAAGACCATTTCGTATTGGAAGTAAGAATGGAGATTTCAAGATTCAATTTAAGGACATTCGACGTCATCAAAGGTGATAAAATACGCTGACAACTTTGGGATGTAATGTTATATTCTATGAAAAGTACAACTCAAAGAAGATGAAGAAATGAAAAATCACAATTGTATTTTGACTACATGGTGTAATGAAATCTTGTTCTCTAAATGAAGGTTGTTCTATAGTGGTCACTTTTGGAATTAATGCCTTGTGCATTTGCATTTACATTCGCATTCTCATTTTGCATTAGCTTATTAATCTATTTGCTTATATAATAATTCTTGTCATCTTATTGTCATTTTTCGTACTAACTAGTTTATATGTTGTTTTTCCTTTTTGCTTGCATCGCGTGTTCATGACATAATCAAGGTGTTGATTTATGAGTGGTCATCACATTAAAAGGTTTTCATTATGGACAAAGGTGGTTTCATGATCAAGTAAATTATAACACAGTTAAGGAATGGCATCCTGAAGAAACTCCGAGAATAGTGGAGAGATTTGCACCCAAAGATCACATGGCTGAGGAAGACAAAAAAGAACATGATAAGGAGATTAAGAAAGAATGGGAACAAATGAAGCATGAATTCCGAGCTATGAAAGAAGATGCTAGCTTATATGGAATTGACGCCAGAGATCTAAGTCTGGTCCCTGATTTAGTATTACCACCGAAGTTCAAAGTTCCAGACTTCGAGAAATTTGATGGCACCAGTTGTCCTTCTGCACACATTACCATGTTTTGCAGAAAAATGACAGGCTATGTGGGAAATGATCAGCTATTAATTCATTGTTTTCAAGAGAGCCTGACAGGCTCAGTAATCCGTTAGTACAATCAGCTAAGCCGAGCTCAAATTAAATCTTGGAAGGATTTGGCTAAGGCTTTTCTAGAGCAATATAAGCATGTAAAAGATGTGAGGCCGAACCGAATTTTGTTACAGAGTATGGAAAAAAGATCTAACGAGAGCTTCAGGCAATATGCCCAAAGGTGAAGAGATGTGGCTGTGCAAATTCATCCACCATTAGAGGAGGAAGAAACCAATATGTTTTTTATAAATACTCTGAGGGTCCCATTATTTGGACATCTCATTGAAAATCCGTCCAAGAATTTTGCTGACATAGTTAATGCATGAGAAATGATCGAGATGGCGATCAAAAGCGGGAAGCTAGACGGGGGAGAATCTAGCCAAAACCCTCCAGTGAGAAGAAAAGATAATGAGGTTAGTAATGTGAAGAAATATGATTCGAATAACATTACAGTATCTCGACCACCGGCCACTGTGTCGTCAGCATCAAATCCTGTCCAACAAGGAGTGAAAGAACCAAGACAGGAAAGGGAAAGGGTTCAATTTGACCCTATCCCCATGACCTATAAAGAATTATTCCAGATCTTGTATGAAAAACATGTGGTGTCACCTTACCACACTTCTTCAATACAACCTCCTTACCCAAAATGGTTTGACATCAGTGCTCAATGTGAGTATCATGCGGGGGCATCAGGGCATTCAATTGAAAACTGCCTAGCCTTCAAAAAGTTGGTGCATAGATTAAAACAAAGAAATGTTATCAACTTCGGTGATAGTGAGCAGCCTAATGTGGCTCAGAACCCACTACCGAACCATGCAGGAACAGGGGTTAATGTTGTTATTGAAGAAAAAGGGAATAAAGTCATAACCAAAGTCAATAAAGTGAAGTCACCCATGCATTGGGTATGGGGGCAAATGGTCAAAGTAGGATGGTTGACCTTTAATGCTAACGAGAATAAGTATGCTTTCCCCTATCACCGTTGTAATTATCATGCCATTCAAAACTGTGACGAATTCAAGGCCTTGGTTCAAAGGTTGATGGATAGTAATGACATGGAATTTTACCATGAGGTTACGAAAGAGAAAGAGAATGATATTTGCGCTTCTGAAGACACATCCAAGGGAGTTTACAATACTAACTACCCTTTAGTCATGACACCAAAAGCTCGGACTATAGAAAGGTTAATCCCAAAAGTGATGATCACGCCTCCGTCGTCTTTTCCTTATAAAGACAACAAGCAGGTCCCTTGGAGGTATGGATTCCAAATAGAGAATGTTGAGAGTTCAGAAGATGCTAAGAAAGAGGTGGATGAGGTAGGCCACTTCACCAGAAGTGGAAGATGTTATTCTCCTAACCAAATCAGTGAACCTGAGAAAAGAGTGGCCCCTGATAAAGGAAAAAGGGTCGAGATAATGATGAAAGATGATGACTCAACAATCAATGAGCCAGTAACAGAGAACGATGATGTAGAGTTTTTAAAATTTTTGAAGCATAGTGAGTACAGCATCGTCGAGCAACTACACAAGTTGACAGCTCGTATCTCGATCATGTCTCTACTATTAAGCTCTGAGGCACATCGAAATGCATTGCTGAAAGTTTTGAATCATACTTTCGTACCGAAAGATGTGCCAGAGGAAAAGATAGATCGACTGGTTGCAAATATTCAGGCGGATAATTTCATCTCTTTCTCTGATGACGAGATCCCATCCGGAATGATGGGCAATCCTAAAGCCTTGCACATTACCATCAGGTGCAAGGGACATGTGTTATCGCGAGTACTAATCGACAATGGCTCTGCCCTGAATGTGATGCCATTAGTGACATTGAAAAAACTGTCGGTTGATAGTACATACATGAGAAATTGCCAAAGCATCATTCGAGCTTTTGACGGAACAAAGAAGGAGGTGCTGGGGAAGATCGATATTCCTTTAACCATTGGCCCATCAACCTATGAGGTCGAATTCCTTGTAATGGATATAATGCCTTCCTATAACTGCTTGTTAGGAAGGCCTTGGATCCATCAGGTAGGAGTTGTGCCATCCACTTTGCATCAGAAACTCAAATTTGTAATTGAGGGGAGATTGGTATGCCTTAATGCTGAGGAAGATATCATTGCTTCCATATCTACTACTGCTTCATATGTCGAAATAGATGAAGATGCGGTCGAGTGCTCTTTCAGAGCCTTGGAATTCATTAATGCCACCTTTGCTGCCGAAAGAAAGAAAATTCTGAAGGCTAGGCTATCCAATTGTACCAAAATGGAACTGAAGATGACTATGGGAAGAGGAGCCAAGGTTGGAAGAGGGCTGGGAAGCCGCCTACAGGGAAATATTAGTCCAGTTTTTCCTGTTATTAAGCGATACCGTTTTGGTCTGGGATATCACCCGACCTTAAAGGAAAAGTTGAAAAATGTTCAAAAGAGCCAGGAAAGGAGGAAAGCCAGGTTAGTCGGGGAAGATATTAAGTGGGAACCCATGAATTTCCCATTGTTGCGTGACACCTTCATAACTGGGGGCCATATGTTTCAGGGGAGTCGATCATCAAAAAAGTCTGTTATTGAAAATACCCTGAAGGATTTGGGCATAAATGTGATATCAGAGGAAGGAATCGAAGACGGAAGGGCTATAGGCATCTATCCCGCACCACCAGGCTTTGTGCTAAACAACTGGACTGCAGAAGAATTACCTGTAGTTTACAAAACTATTTCAGAGTAATGCACAAAAACTTTCCCTATTGTTTAAACCATGAGGCAATAGGTGATCTCTTGTAAGGGGTTAATCTATCTGTTTTTTTTTTTAAATAAATGATGCATTCCTCTTAATTCACGAAATGGCAAATATCATCATTTCCATTCTTTTATTTATTTATTTATTTATTTATTTTTTATATATTATTAGTTCATTCTATTTTGATATGGGATAGATTCTCCTGTATTTGTATATGTATATATCCTCTCGTTCGTTATTCTTTCAGGACCTCCGATATCAATAGTATGAATGCTGATAAGTCTGACCTGAAGATAGATTTCGAGTTGCCCATATGTCAAGGGGAAATTGAAGGTTATGATAGTGATGAGGGAAGCCATATATCTTCTGAACTATTAAAAATGGTAGAAAGAGAAGATAAACAAATTTTGCCTCATGAAGAGCCCATTGAGATCTTGAATCTAGGATCAGATGAGGATAAAAAGGAGATAAAGATTGGCATCATCATATCTGCTGAGGGACGACAAAGTCTGATTCAGTTACTTCGAGAGTACAGAGATGTGTTCGCTTGGTCGTATGAGGACATGCCAGGGTTAGATACTGAATTAGTGGTACATAAATTTCCAATAAAGCCTGAATGTAAACCGGTACAACAAAAGCTCAGAAGGATGCGACCCGAAATGTTACTTAAAATTAAAGAAGAAGTAAAGAAACAATTTGATGCTGGGTTCCTAAAAGTAGCCAAGTATCCGGAATGGGTAGCGAATGTTGTTCCAGTACCAAAAAAAGATGGAAAAGTTCGTATGTGTGTCGACTACAGAGATCTTAATCGGGCCAGTCCAAAAGATAATTTCCCTCTGCCACACATAGACACCCTGATGGACAATACAGCTGGAAACTTTCTATTTTCATTTATGGATGGGTTTTCAGGTTACAATCAAATAAATATGCATCCAGATGATATGGAAAAAACTATATTTGTCACCATGTGGGGTATGTTCTATTACAAGGTGATGTCGTTCGGACTAAAGAATACAGGGTCAACTTATCAAAGGGCCATGGTAACACTATTCCATGACATGATGCACAAGGAAATAGAGGTCTATGTCGATGATATGATTGTTAAAGCTAAAACGGAGGAAGAACACATCAAGAATCTGAGGAAACTCTTCCAAAGATTAAGGAGCTGCCAGTTAAAACTCAATCCAAGCAAGTGTACCTTCGGGGTAACATCGGGAAAACTCTTGGGGTTTGTAGTAAGCAAAAAAGAGATTGAAGTAGATCCTGACAAGGTCAAAGCTATTCAGAATTTACCACCCCCAAAAACACAAAAAGAAGTTCGAGAATTTCTGGGAAGATTAAACTACATTGCCCGATTTATTTCGCAATTAACTGAGAAGTGCGATCCCATTTTTCGCCTTCTCCGTAAAAATAACCCAGGGGTATGGAATGATGATTGCCAGGGAGCTTTTAAAGCAATAAAAGGATATTTGTCGAATGCTCCAATATTAATGCCACCAATATCCGGCAAACCATTAATCCTCTACTTATCAATCTTTGAGAATTCAATGGGGTGCGTATTAGGGCAGCATGATCAAACTGAGAAAAGAGAAAGAGCAATTTACTACCTCAGGAAAAAGTTTACTGATTCCGAGACAAGGTACTCACCAATAGAAAAGTTGTGTTGTGCTTTAGTTTGGACTACCTGAAGGCTCAGACAATATATGTTGTATCACTCTACTTGGCTCATATCTAAACTTGATCCTCTGAAATATCTAATGGATGTACCTGCTTTATCTGGAAGATTGGCTTGTTGGAAAATCTTATTGTCGGAATTTGATATCCAATATGTAAGCCAAAAAGCAGTTAAAGGAAGTGTTGTGGCCGATTTCATTGCAAGTAGGGTTTCTGAAGAGTATGAACCACTGAACTTCGATTTTCCAGACGAAAATTTAATGGTTATTTCAACAGAGAATGCAGTTTCCTTTACTAATGAACAGTGGAAGATGAATTTTGATGGTGCCTCTAATGCTTTAGGGCATGGGATTGGGGCAATTCTCGTCTCACCTTGTGGAAAACAGTATCCTTTCACCAGCCGATTGAATTTTGATTGCACAAATAACATGGCCGAATATGAAGCATGTATTCTGGGTCTGAAAGCTGCCATTGAGCGTAAAGTGAAAATACTCGAAGTATACAGAGATTCAGCCCTGGTAATTTATCAACTCAGAGGTGAATGGGAAACAAAAGATACGAAGTTGGTGGAATACCGAAAGTTGGTCTTAGAGCTCATTAAAGAATTCGAGAGGGTGACATTTCATTATCTCCCCAGAGAAGAGAATCAAATGGCGGATGCTCTGGCCACTTTGGCAGTAGCTTTCAAAGTCAATGAATATTCAAGCATGATGCCTATTACGATGGAAGCTTACGGGTATCCAGCCCATTGCTATAGCATAGAAGAGGAAGAGGATGGAAATCCCTGGTATTACAATATCCTGCAATATATTAAAAATCAAAGCTACCCTAAGCATGCCATTGAGAATGACAAAAGAACTATTCGAAGAATGGCAGCAGGATATGTGCTTGATGGTGAGGTCTTGTACAAGAAAAGTCATGATCAAGTCTTGTTACGGTGTGTGGATGCCAAAGAAGCCAGAACAATCATTGAAGAGGTGCATGAAGGAGTATGTGGTAACCATGCTAATGGACATGTAATGGCTAAACAAATAATGAGATTTGGATATTATTGGTCAACTCTGGAAACTGATTGTATCAATTTCTCCAGAAAATGTCACAAATGCCAGATTTATGGAGATAAGCTCCACACCCCTCCTCATCCATTACATGTAATGACTGCTCCGTGGCCATTCTCTATGTGGGGCATGGATGTCATTGGGAAAATTTCACCCAAAGCTTCTAATGGCCATCGTTTCATATTTGTGGCAATAGACTATTTCACTAAGTGGGTAGAAGCGGCATCCTATGCAAATGTCACTCAGTCAACAGTTTACAAGTTCTTAAAGAGAGAAATTATTTTTCGGTATGGGCTACCAGAAAGGATTGTCACTGACAATGCCTTGAATTTAAATAATAAGATGATGGAGTCAGTATGTAAACAATTCCAAATTAAACATCATAATTCCATCACTTATCGCCCAAAGATGAATGGAGCGGTAGAGGCAGCCAATAAGAACATCAAGAGGCTCATACAGAAAATGACTGAGACTTATAGAGATTGGCATGAGAAGTTACCATTCGCTCTGTTTGCCTATCGAAGTTCAATGAGGACGTCTACTGGGGCAACTCCATTTTCTTTAGTTTATGGTATGGAGGTTATGTTACCCATCGAGGTTGAGATTCCGTCACTACGAGTGCTGTCAGAGGTTAAGTTAGATGAAGCAGAATGGGTGCAAGCTAGGTATGATCAATTGAACCTGATTGAGGAAAAAAGATTAAAAGCTATCTGTCATGGGAAAATGTACCAGAAACGTATGATAAGGGCACATAATAAAAAGGTTCGTTCACGAGAGTTTCAAGAAGGAGACTTGGTGCTAAGAAAGATTTTGTCAATTTAGAAAGACTTTCGAGGAAAATGGATGCCAAATTGGGAAGGACCTTATGTGGTAAAGAAGACCTTTTCTGGAGGAGCTTTGATCCTCACCGAGATGGATGAACCAGATTTACCTAACCCTGTGAATACTGATGCAGTCAAGAAGTATTTCGCCTGAAAAAATGAATGAAAAAAAGGAAAAAGGAAAGAAAAAATAAGGAAAAAAGAAAAGAAAAATAAAAGAAGGGTTCAAGATGAAAACCTGTAAAGGGCGTCTTGAAACCAGAAAAGGTTTCATGTTGAAAACCCGTAAAGGTTGGCTTGAGAATTGTGTAAATTCAGAATTCGTGCATGGTGGAGGTTCTGAATTAGTTTTGAAGGCTTGATATGATAGTCATGGGTTAGGGTTGGAAATTTAAAAGCTTGGATAACAAGAAAGTAAACAAGACTCAAACGCTGGCTTATGATATCCAACAGTAGGGAATTTGGCAGTACAGGGGGAACTTCATACCCTTACGCATTACCACAATCCTCAATATCCCCTTGACAGAAGCTACACTCAGATCTTTTTACGGCGTGCCAGTTCAAAAGCATTCGTATTATTGATGTCTGAGGACGCCTACTGTGTTTTTTATTATTCCAGTTAAAGTTTGCCATGTATTCATCCAAAAACTCTTTATTTATAAATAAAAATATGTTTTTAACCACGTTGCAAGCATACTTATTGAAAATAAAAACATGTAGATTAACTCGGGAAACATGAGGTCATTGTGCATTATTGTACAAAAAGTTTTGGAAAATACAGATATTCTGAAGCCGAAAATAGTTTTAGCATAAGGCTTATGCAATGTCATACCACAAGAAGTTAAAGCCTTGGGATATACTTGAATACTCAACAATGTGGGATAACCCAAGAGGTTTTGTCACTGATTAAATAGCGGATCATGAGAAGCACATGGGTTCAAAGAGTAAAGAGAATCAGAGTCAAGCTCAACCAAAGAGTGTCTAATCAGGGTTATTGATTGAGATGGAATGTTGATTGATTTTTCGTGCCCAAATCAAACTGAAGGACAAGGCCGTTAACAAAATAAAATTCTCGTTTGAAAAGAAAATACCTTAAAAATAAATGCATCATTGCACACATTTTAGGCATAAATAGGACCATGACATAAAATGCATAATGATGTGTGTTTGCAGGTTCTCTTAAAAAAGACAAAGATGTAAAGACCCAACATAGAAATAACCAATTCAAATTTTCATGTTTTGTCGTGGCAAGACAAGCTTCCACAAGAAAAATCTTTTCAAAAAAAAATTATCATCCCAAGACTTTCAGGTATGATGTTTTTGAATCCTTAAACACATACTAACAAATGTTAATGTTTAATTTTCAGGTTCGATCCCAATTCAATGGATCAACTTCTCCAAGATTTGATATTCCCTTCAGAGTAAGTGGAACAAGTCTGCTTCGATTCAATGAATCAACTTCTCCAAGATTTGATATTCCCTTCAGAGTAAGTGGAACAAGTCTGCTTCGATTCAATGGATCAACTTCTCCAAGATTTGATATTCCCTTCAGAGTAAGTGGAATAAGTCTGCTTCAATTCAATGGATCAACTTCTCCAAGATTTGATATTCCCTTCAAAGTAAGTGGAACAAGTCTGCTTCGATTCAATGGATCAACTTCTCCAAGATTTGATATTCCCTTCAGAGTAAGTGGAACAAGTCTGCTTCGATTCAATGGATCAACTTCTCCAAGATTTGATATTCCCTTCAGAGTAAGTGGAACAAGTCTGCTTCGATTCAATGGATCAACTTCTCCAAGATTTGATATTCCCTTCAGAGTAAGTGGAACAAGTCTGCTTCGATTCAATGGATCAACTTCTCCAAGATTTGATATTCCCTTCAGAGTAAGTGGAACAAGTCTACTTCGATTCAATGGATCAACTTCTCCAAGATTTGATATTCCCTTCAGAGTAAGTGGAACAAGTATGCTTCGATTCAATGGATCAACTTCTCCAAGATTTGATATTCCCTTCAGAGTAAGTGGAACAAGTCTGCTTCGATTCAATGGATCAACTTCTCCAAGATTTGATATTCCCTTCAGAGTAAGTGGAACAAGTCTGCTTCGATTCAATGGACCAACTTCTCCAAGATTTGATATTCCCTTCAGAGTAAGTGGAACAAGTCTGCTTCGATTCAATTGATCAATTTCTCCAAGATTTGATATTCCATTCAGAGTAAGTGGAACAAGTCTGCTTCGATTCAATGGATCAACTTCTCCAAGATTTGATATTCCCTTTAAAGTAAGTGGAAAAGTCTGCTTCGATTCAACGGATCAACATCCCCATATGTGATATTCCCTGAGTGGCAGTGGAACAGATCCATCATCATATTTCAAACCATTAAGTTGACAGGGAGAAAAATGCATTGTCTCTTCGTCTTTGCCCTATTCTTGTTGACACAAGAATGAGCAAAGAGGGGCAGTTGTAGACACCTCATTTTTCCACCATGCTCCACTACAAGCATTATCTCCACCAGCCCCCATGAGAAGCACCAGCAACGGGTAAAGCCATCCAAAGTCACCATGGATCGTCACTGCATATGTCAACAGCAACATCTTCATAAGATCAGATAAAATATACCCAAATCCCACAAACAATAAAAAATTAAAACCTAATCGTCCATTAAAGAAACCTCAGTGGAATAACCACCGGGAGGAAGCATAAAGACAGAGGGCTCGATTTTTTTCAAAGAGGGAGAGAGAGGGAGAAAGAAAACAGAGAAGCAATTCACAGGATTCAAACAGGGGGTGACCATTCGAACAAGGGAAACAAACAGAGAAGCAATGTAAGGGATTTACCCCTCCACTCAAAATCAATAGAGAAACATTTTCATCCTATTTTTGTTCCATACATAGATCAAGAGAAAGAATTTTATTTTTTTTATTCTCATTCGAAAACCATAAAAAAGAACTCAACATCTCAAAGGTATATTAGACATTTTTTATTATTTTAAAATGAAAACAAGTATGAAATAAAGAGAGATTAAAAGGCAAAACTAAAAACTAGAATGTTTACCTTCATAGGAATTGGGGTTTGTATGCATTTGATAGGCTTGGCGTGGGGTGTAGCCATGGTAGTCACCATAATTGTTGTTTGAAGTTTCTGGTTAACAAGAAAAATGAGGGAGAGAGTGGATAAGAAAGGGGGTTGTGCGGCTGATATGGGTTTAGTTTAGAATAAGTTTAGTATTAGGTTTTTTAAATTAAGAGATATATAGCAACTTTAGGGTAAATTAGTTTTTTAATCCTTTAAGTTTTAGCGCGAATTTGCACTTTAGTCACTCGAAAGGGCTTATTTCGAATTTATCTATTGGTATTTGTCTTGATTTAGTTATTTTCCAAATTTACATTTTAGTTATAATTTTCAGGGTTATTTGATATTAGGGTAATAGTATATTTATTTATAATTCATTTAAGTCATCAAATCAGTGTTTGCATGTTTATAATTTTGTCTCTTTAGTTTATACTCGTTTAATTTTGGTCCCAAGTTAG